TGTATGCATTAAAAACGGTGATTGACTAGAGAGCATGCAAATACACTAATGATGTCGCTTTCTGTTTCGCTCAAGATGTTATGAAAAGATAATAGTACACGATATTTTTTCCATTATCTTGCCAAGATATTAAGTACAGATTTATATGATACAACCAAGATATGTACATACAGATTATCTTTTAAGATCTTAATAATATCTTACTTACTGATCCCAAGATTCCCAAATCTTGCTTACAAGATGTTCGACTATGGTATTGGCCTAAAATAGTCGGTTCTCCTCTCATTCAGTATTTGCTACTGTTAAAGTCACTTATTTTTCTCATAGCGATGATGAGTATCCATCCAAACAATTTTTTAAATTAAAAAAAAATCAAGTTTAAATGACTCGTCAGTGCAAGAATTAAATTAAAATTTTCTCAAATTAAAATTTGAATTAAATAAACTTTAAATTGACACCCCTATTGAATAACCCACATATAATCCGACACCCATCACACCCGCATTCTATGAATGTTTGATTTATCGTCACTGCTGAAACATTTCACGCAAATAAAAGAAAACCAAGCGATCATGGGAAAAATTCTCTTTGTAGGAACAGCCTGCAGACTTCTACGGTATGCCAAAAAAAAACATCATTCAAGCAAGCTTTTCCTTCTTTTCCCAGATTATTTTTTATGGATTCATCGTCAATAGAAATGAAGAAAAATATTTGAGTGGGAAAAAAGCAAAGTTTATCCCGTTTGAATAAAAAGAAACAAAAAGCTCAAAACGATTAAAATTCAAACTATATATAAATGTGATTGAACACTTTTTCATCAATTGTATTTCTTTAAAACGATTTAATTTGCTTTATTTCCACTGAAAAAAATGTATTTTCTTGCACGTTGCACACTAATAATATTGGCAACCATGGCTAGTATTGGCTATATTGATGGTTCAACATGTGTTTGTGGGTGTTGTGCTGGTTTTATTTGTAATGCTATTAATGTCGGCAACACTACAGTATCCTCATGTTATAATTGTAATTCTACATTATGCCAATCAACATATTATTCAACATGTGCTATTGCAAATACTATTACAGCTTCATGTGTTTCTGGAAGCAGCAGCAGTAGTAGTAGCAGTAGTAGTAGTAGCAGTAGTAGTAGCAGTAGTAGTAGTAGCAGTAGTAGTAGCAGTAGTAGTAGTAGCAGTAGTAGTGCTTCCTCTTCACAGCATCAAGGAAGTCGTGGTTTATTCAAACCAACGTCCAATACACTCACTGTAGCAATCGTGAGTTTCTCAATTTCAATATAATGGAAGATCAAATGAAAATTTGTTAAAATCACATCATTTGACTATATGAACTTCTGTTTTGTATTCCTTTTTACTCTAAGTTTCATTGCTTTTTATGTTCATTTTTTCTCAAAATTTCAAAATAATAAACAAGAATCGTACTTAACACCCAATTTTGTTTTAATGATCTACCACATGAAATATTTTAATTACTATAAAATTCTCGAAATGATAACTTTTCGGTTCTGCATTACTTAAAGTCGTTATCCAGATGTTCTTGTTAATGGTATCATACCACTACATTTTGTATGTCGTATTGATGATTACCATATTTTCTTGAGTGTGTGGATGTGAGGTATTGATGTGACTTTTGCTCTTCTCCTTACGGACAGTCCACACCCATGCCCTTTTTGTTGCGATTATTCCGTCAAGTATATTTTACTTGTTGAAGGCTTCTCGAATCACAAGAAATGTTACAAGGATACAGTTATAGATTCCATTCTGTTCACTGAAGAAAATTTATCCGTATAATTTACAAGAAAAACAGTATTGGACAAGAAAAGTGTCATTGTCGCAATGGTGTACTTACGTGAAAATAATCCTACCCATGGAATAAAAAAAATCGAAAAAAATTCATAATTTTCATTTTTTCTGAAAAATGATAATCATCTCATTAATTCGATTACTTTTACATCATTTTCATCCGATGAAAACTTCTAAATTTATCGATGAATTTAAAATACATGCATTAAAGTGTCCGTTCCATCATGAAAAATTGCATTTTTTTGATTTTCGCCATCATTTCTTCCAGCAAAATTTTTTATTAATGACTCACAATCGCGGTTCCCGATTGAGTATTTAAAAGCATTTTTCCAACAGTTTGCCTGTTTGGGTAAGATTATATTGAGTGTGAAATTCTGGTTCCTTCTCGCATTGAAAATGGGTCGGATAGAGAATCGTTTATTCTTAGATGAGTATTGCATTGTTCTGCAATGTCTAATTGGATTTGTTTTTGAACGACTATGGTTGGCCTCAATCGTGCATAGCAGTCGAACATGGTGTAAATGTTCGACAAAGTGCTCAGTTTAATGAAGCAAAAAGTACAACACTAGTTAAATGAATAGTGAATTCTGTTCTTCTTTTTAATATCGCTACACTCTAACAGGGCCCGATACATCGGCATCATTCCATTGATGAAGCAGAACAGCAATACCATGCATGGTATGTTACCATCTATGCACCATCGGCACAAATGGGCGATTCCATTATAAAAATCTTTCATTATGTGTTCCATTCTTGATTAATTGTATTGCAACATAATTCATTATCTACGAGACAACTGAGACACATTCAAATGCTCGAAGAGAGCGCAGAGATGTCATAATATCCTAACACTGGGTATCGTCGACATACCAGTCACGATATCCATTCAAGTGGATACCTAAAATGGATACTAAAATAAATACCCATGCTCCTCAGAGCTGAGGAATTTGAGTGCATTTTGTGTAACGAGAATGG